TTGAATGTTGGAATTCTCTGAGCTTCCTAGAGTTTTATGTCCATTTTCTTCACCATGTTAGGGAAGTTTTCCATCATTATTTCTTCAAACAGACAGATATTTGGAAACTTAATAGTGTCCCATGTCCTCCTTAAATTATTTTTATAGTCTTGGCATCTTATCTCTTGCCATTCTGACTGAGTGTCCTGATTGGCTTTCATGTCCTCTAGATAGGTCATTTGATCCTTTTCTTTATTCACTTTGTTTATTCCATTTAATATCCTTCTCATCTCAGATAATGTGTTCTTCATTTCAAACTGGTTCCCTTTTATAATTTCCATTTTTGTTTTTTATCTTTGTTAAAGTTCTCACTGAATTTATCTACACGTCCCAAAAGCTCATTGAGCATCTTTATAACCAGTGTTTTGAACTCTGCATCTGTTAGATTACTCGACTCCACTATATCTGAATCTCTGTTTTACTCTCTTATATGGTTTCTGCTTTTTTGTCTTCCCATGTTGGCTGTCTTTCCGTGTCTGTTTCTATGTACTAAGCAAAGGTCCTAAATCTCATGGTCTTATTAGTGTGGATTTGTGAAGTAGGTGTCCAGTGACACAGTCCTGAGAGGGGTTCAGCTGCAGGCCAAATTTAGCCCAAACCTCTACCTCTCTGGGGCCACTTGTTAAGATTCAGCAAGGAATCCACAGAGGCCGTGCTCATAGTTGCCTCAAAAGGCCACACCAGAAACCGAAGCCAGCTGCCTCCACCAGTGTGAGTCTCAGCAAGGAACACCTGACTTGCTGAGGTATACCTGGAGGTGGCTTGAGTGGGGCCCGAACTGGAGTAGGCGGGGTTTCAGGGAATCCTCCGGGCGGAGCGACCTCTATTATCCAGCTTGATGATGTCAGGGCTATGGCGGGGCTGTGTCAGGCGCATTGGTAGCGGGGAGGGCTCAACAGAGAACAATGGATACCACCAGGCACTTCTGTACAGAGCGAGTGTCTCCTCAGCCCTCACTCCAACAATGTCTCCCTGTAAGTCCCTGGTACCCCCAGCACGCAGCCGAACGGGCACTGGTGCTCAGAGCGACCAGGTCTGTCACCCGAAAATCCACTCACAGATGTGGCCCCTTTAAGAGGCGTCTGCCTCTGCTGCAGCCTCCATTTTACTCAGCAGCTCGGGACTGGGCGGCCCCGAGTCCTCATCCTGTCCTACCTTCTGCCACTGCAAGGTGATTTCTTGGATTTCTCCCTAATTGTATGGCTTGTTCTTCTAGATCCCAGGCGATTTTCCTTGCTGCTGCTTCTTGTTTCTTTCACAACCTTAATTTGGTTGCCAGAAGGATGAACATAGCCTCTATCATTTATGCCATTATTTTTACAGCCATCGATACTATTAATTTCAAAATTTAAGACTGCCTATATTACTGAGTTCTCCTGTTTTGAAAAAGGTAGTATCCTGACCTCCAACAAACATATTGAAAATGACTCTTAAGGATTTTTCTTAACTGGTCTACTTGAAAACTCTACCTCACAAACACCCAAGAATTGGCAAGTACAGCTAAATATCTTTAATTTATTCATTTGTTTCTCCACTTCACCATAGTATTCTAAACAATAATAATGCATTAACATCTAACAGCCTATCTACACATTTTTAGATACAGAATTTTAATTTGGCAAATATCTTTAAGAGCAATTCTGAATATAGTCACTGACCTTTATGGAAGGTATAATCTGCTAATTTTTTATTCTGTCTTTTTTTTTTTAATGAATTCTGTCTTTCACACAACACACAAGGTTATCATTCAGGTTATTTTAATAATGACAGTTACCACACTGTAATTATTTCTCACTATTTCTACCTTAAATAGTTCACTTAACATTCATACACTATCAAAATGTTCATCTGGGTCATTCTTCTGTATACAGTATTTTCAATTTGTGGTTGGGAATCCACATATGCAGAAGACCGACTTATATGTGACTTTTGACTGCATAGGTGGTCAGTGCTAAGGCTTATGTTGTTCAAGGGTCAATTATATATAGAATTTACTTTTACAAGGAAAAAAAAAGCAGGCACAATTTTCACATGTAGAAAATTTTAATATTTATATATCTCAGGAGGCTGCTTGTAGCTCAATGGGGCGGCCCTGGGTTCCAATCTCCTAAAGCCCTCTCGGTCATCCCAGAAGAGAGGAAACTTACCTTGAAACCTGTAACTCATTCTGTGCGTTGGCTGATAAACTCAAAACTGTAGCATGATAATCTATTTTTGCTTAATTAATTTCAAAATGTCATAACAGTTTTGACAATATTTTCAAGAAAAATATGCCCCATACCCACCTTGTATATTCTTCTTGCAACTTGTTGGGGTCACTTACGAAAAATTTGACTCTAAAGTTCAAACTGTAAGGTGATCCTCCTAGAATTAATAAAAGCAGTTCTAATTAATCAGATTATATTAACCCTTTATCTTTATAAAGTATACTTGAAAAATATCAAATAAATACGTATGCTCACTCTTAAGCTGCTTCCTTATTGGTTTGTTCGGATCCAGCCACCTCTGAAAAATAAAAAAGACTGATTTCATTTTTCCTTGAGGAACTAATACATTGATTCATGCAAATCTGTCCCATCTGAAGATTAATGCTAAAAACTGCATATTTGAAAAGGCCTAGGTAGGAATAAATAATCTACAGACATTCACATCAAACAAAATTACAATGGAAAGTACTAAATGTATTTGTGGTAGCTTTAAGATTTTAATTTCCCATCAAATTATACAGTATACCAAAACATCTATTCCTAAAGTAAAAATGCTTAATAATCACAACAATCTGAAGTGATCTGTGTTAATACAACTATATTATGAAACAGTCTGGCGAGTTTTAAAAATTCTCTTTCATAAAAATATGCTCGGCCTTATGCTCTCATTCAGACAAAATTTAACTCTACTCCATGAAAATCTACTCTTAAGAAAAATTTTGTAACTTCTACCCTATTCCTTAAAAATAAACCACATACACACCCCCAAAAGAAAACCACACTGATTTTCTAAGAGATAATGTTTAGTTTGAGAAAAGACTGCTTCTTCTATATGAGGACTGTAAATAGTCTCTCTCAACACTTCTGAATCCTAGTTAAGCTCTATTTTAGAAAAACTGTAACTGAATTCAGAAAATATTTCAACTGCTAACATATTTCACTTAAAGAAATTAAAGAACTGCAAATTAGGTAATAGATGTGGCAGTATTTTCAAAGCACTACACAAATACAAGCTTATGTACCGTTATTTAAAAACCTTACTCCTCCCTCCCATACTTGATTCCATGAAGAACACATAGATTTTACTAAGAAATGGCTGGGACTAATCCATGAGTCTCTCCTTTCCATTATTCTAACATCCAACACATCAAATCCAGCTGATTCAACCTTCAAACTGTACCTAGAGTTTAACAACTCTCCATCTACTCTGCCAGAGCCTCTTAATTGCTATCTCTGCTTCTTTTTTTCAAAGCAAACGAATTTCAGTTTGTTTTTATTTCAGGTTCACTGTTTCCCTTATATTTTATCAGTTAGAATAAACAGTCAAAACGTGTCAGGAAATAAATCAAGTCGTTCATCAGAAAATAAAATTTTGTTGGTTTTTCCACGTGATTAAGTATTATAGGTCTACTAACAAAAATGAAAAATCAATACTTGTATATTCCAAATTTTCCAAGTTTCTCCACTTCACATTTTAATTATTAGTTTAAATTCATACAATCACTATGTAAAGTAACTAAGTATATGATTCAAAATATATTTCTTTATGATGGTTTGAAAATTTGTGGTAGTTGGTTTTCAATTACTAGACATCTATGAAGATTTCATCAGTGCTAGCCAGTTAATTAGAAAAAATATGACGAGTAGTACTATGATGGAAATTTCAAAATATTTAATAGGGAGAAAACAATGTACTAAGAGTGAAATATATTTCGTTTAATTAGAATATACATTGCCTTCTAATCCAGCTAATATACTTCAGTCAGCAGCAAACTGAAGCCATATATTATCAATGATCTCTCAGATCACTCTTAAGTATATAATCTGGGTTACATTAAATAACCTTATTTAGGTAACCACTTTAAATATTTGTAGACTCAAGTACTTCTTAAAGTTTTCAGTTACTGATTTTCAAATCTTTGTAGGTATAAGCCTTTCAGAAGGGCAAGCATAATCAGGTTTCCTGCCCATTTGGTCTTTTCCTTTGATAACCACCCATGTTACTCTTACAGCTTGTCAATTAGCATTTAATGAGAACCTGCTGTGGGGCTAAGGCCTCTAACAGGGCCTAGAACCAAACAAAAGGTTAGGTTTGCCTAGAGAAGCTTACAATCAAGTTGGTGGTTTTCATGAGCATAAGTTAGCATAGGTTTGCTTGATTTTCTTGTTTATCAACAGCAATGACAAAGATGTTTTTCTAGAGGTAGCACTGGCTTTGACACTTCCCTTCAGCTGATACTAATAAAAAAATAATGACAAAGTTTATACAGAATCCCAGTAGGACAGTCTCCATAAGTTTGCATAACCATAGATCAGATTTATAATAAAAAGTACTGGAATGTTTCTTAATTAGCCACACATTAAGCTAAAATGTGTTAGAATTCTTCACATTTTAAGAGTAAAATTTCAGGACATACTTGTGATCTCTTCTAACAAGTAAGACAGGAGGGAAGTTTTGAGTGAGGATTTCCAACCAAGCCATGTACAACCAATCTGATATAGATCCTTTTCTTGCCACCGGAAGGCTCAGGACTATGAGATTAGCAGTTCTTGAATGCTCCTTTAAGAATTCAGCCAAACTCGGCAGTAACTCTTTTCTTGACTGCTTCCAATTCTGCATCTGTCCCTGTTTCTTAACACCTCTTCATCCTCCATCTAAAAGCCAGAGTAGTCTTTTAAAACATAATGTCTCTTCTTTGCTTAATATCTCTTGACAATTTCTCAATGCAAGGTTCAAAGTCCTTAGCATGATCTCTTTATACCTCTTACTCAATTTACTAAGCTCCAGCCATAATGGCCCCCTTTCTGTTACTCAAAAGATGCCATCCTAGGGTCTTCAATTTCAAGTTTCCTTATGCATAGAATGTCCTTCTCCAGGTTTCCCATGGCTGAGTCCTTTCATTACCTGTGCCACCTCCTCGGAAAGGTCTTCATTGACTACTCTATTAAAAGTATGTCACAAAGCTTCTATTTACTTAGAAACAGGCAAGGAACACTGAATTCTTTCATAACATTTTTTTTTCACTGTAATATGTTTGGTTTACATTTTTATTGCCTATCTCTTTCATTACATTATGAACTCTATGAGGTAAAGGATAAAATTTGATTCATTCAAAGCTGAACAGTCAGAACCTAGCACAGGATTTGGCATATAATATCAATTTTAAATATTTGGTGAAGGACTGACTAAACCTGTTGAATGACTCAACAGTCGGCGGGGGTGGGGGAGTAGGGTGTGCGCCAATAATCAGCTGGTTTTCATTCCTACTTAATATATTTGTTTCCCTTATATATTCACATGTTATCTATCTTTCTACCCATCTATTAAGCTAGTGATTTTGTTCTTCAGTATTTATAAGAAAAGTTGTAAATTACTTTCATTTTAATACTTGTCTAAAATCAAAATTTGGGATCAGTTCATCTATATAAAGCTTGCCTCCTTAATTCAGTTTCCCTTAAAAATATTCTGATATCAGAGATAGAAACACATTTACATACACAAATAGATGTGTTAAACTGACATGGCTTAGAAGGAATACAATGATAAACACTGGGAAATTCAAAAGACTTCATCAATGATGTTAATGAGATAGGACTCAGGATCTTGGCTTAAGCCAAGAAAATGGAGCAATGCTATAATGAGCACTACTAGACAGTAAAGATAGTGTTCATAGTAAAAACACACTGTCAAAAGAAAAACAAAGTAAGGAAAAAAATAACACATAAAGAAGTTCTACAAATCAATAAGAAAAAGATCAACACTAATAGAAAAACAGGCAAAGAATAAGAATAGAAAGTTCACAGAAAAGGAAATATTTTTTGATATTTTTTAATTGCAAGTAACTGAAACCACTTAAGTATATGAAAATATATATAATCTTGATCATATTTAGAGAAATATAAAAGTAATCTACTTTAGGTTATCATTTGTCAACAACACTGGCAAATATTAAAACTTTTAATGATATATCACAATGGCAAGAATGTGAGGAAAATAGGCACATACATAGCTTATGAGAATATAAACTGTACCATCTCAATGCAGGACAATTTGGCAATATTTATCAAAATACAAAATGCGTATGACCATAGATCTAGCATTATTCTTATACAGAATTTTATTGAGATATATTTCACGCAATATAAAATCCATTATTTTAAAATGCACACTTCAGTGTACTACTTTATTATATTAAGTTGTACAATCATCAACACTAAATAATGTCAGAATATTTGCATTACCCCCCCAGACAAAATCCTGTTTCTATTAGTAGCCAGTCCCAATGCTCCACTAGCCATAGCTCTTACCAACTTCTCATCTACTTACTGTCTTTATGAATTTGCATATTTTGGACATTTAATGTGAATGCAATCATACAATAGGTGGTCTTTTGTGTCTAGCTTCTTTCACTTAGTCCACTAGACCCAATTATCCATGGGGGATACATTCCAAGACCCCCACTGGATGCCTGAAACTGGAGATAGTACCAAACCCTATATGTACTATGTCCTTTCCTATGTATACATACCTATGATAAAGTTCAATTTATAAATAAGGTACAGTAAGAGATTAAAAACAATAATAATGAAATAGAACAATTACAACAATATACTGTAATGAAAGTTATGTAAATTTGGTCTCTCTTTCAAAATATTTTGTTACACTATACTCACCCTTCTTGTGATTATGTGAGCTGATACAATGCCTGTGTGATAAGATGAAGTGAGGTGAATGACATAGGCATTGTGATGTACCGTTAAGCTACTACTGACCTTCTGATGATATGTCAGAAGGAGGATCATCTGCTTCAGGTCATCCTGGATCACAAGCTATGAGCAACTACTAAGTGACTAACAGGTGGGTAATGTATACAGTATGGATATGCTGAACAAAAGGATAACTAACATGCAAGGTTGGGATGGCATGAGATTTCATCACACAACTCAAAATGGTGTGCAACTTTAAGTTATGAATTTTTTATTTCTGTGATTTTCCAAGTAATATTTTTTGATCGCAAGTAACAGAAACCATGGAAAGCAAAACCACAGATAAGGGGGAACTACTGTTAAATGTTTTCAAGGTTCATCCATGTTGTAGTATGCAACAATACTTCATTCCATTTTATAACTGACATTTGGGTTTCTATCTTTTGGCTATCATGAATAATAATGCTATGAACACTTGTATACAAGTTTTTCTGTAAATAAATGTTTCAATTTTCTCAGATATTTGTGGAGGAGCAGTATTGTTTGGTCATATGGTAACACTATATATAATTTTTAAAAGAATTGCCAAAT